AGGACACACCGACAAAGGAGATTAATCAGAACTGACTTTGACAAGCACTGTGGCAATTGGACAATTAAAAAAGACATTCGGATGGCAGGGAAGAAGAACAACCTGGGGAGGAGGGTGGAGAGAATGGTGCGGCAATGAAGGAGTGAAAGCCCAGAATCCCTGTGAATGTTCATTGAAACTAATAAAAAAAAAATGTAAAAAAAATAAATGTAGACATGAAATCTTTATCAAGGTCAGCCTATGCATAACATCCGTAGTCCAGGGCAGACTATAACCCACACCATGAATAGTAGATCAAACTTCCATTACAAGTCCAGAGGAGGAGGAGGAGAGTACTTCTATCAGAGAGAACAAGAGAATTTTGCTTGGGTAGGTTACTTACTTTTTGTGACTTTGTTTATTCAGCTCTAAAATAGGGTTTGCAACTTCCCCATCTCGGGATGGTGTCATCCACCATCAAGCACCATCTTTAGCCATTAGTGCTTTTCTGTCCTTTTCCGCATTATCACCCCTGTCACTTTCATATTGAGGTGCAGTTGTTGCCTGGCTGTAAGACGCTTCATCCTATTTTGCTTGGGGGCTCTCTTTGCCTCAAGCTTCCTGTGGTTGACACATCTTCATCTCCACAAGAAGTATCCTCAAGTCTTGTCTCATCCTCTGTAATACCTGGCTTTGTGTCATTAAGAACAAGTATCACTACCAGATGTTAATTTATTACTTCTTATATTCACTTACATGTACTCTCCTTCTCTAAACTGTAAGTTCCATAGAGAGGAAAACTCAACATCTCTTTAGCTCCCGATTGAACCTGTAGCCCCTTGTTCAGTTCTAAGTAGACAGTGGGCCCAGAGTAGGGCATCAGTCAGTATTGCACTGTCCAAGAAGTCATGGTACGTTGGTTGCTGATAACTCAGATGGAGATGGGTAGATGGTAAAGGACATGGAAGAGCAGAAGTGACTCAAGTGCACAATCTTGAACTGTGGCCATTCTTTTCTGAGAAGGTAAGGTCTGAGGACCACAGAGAGGTGGGATGCTATGCACAGTGAGAAATGTGTGGAACTAACTTAAAAAGGAAGCACAGGGATGTGGATATGTGCAGGAGGAGGGGAGATTAACCATTGGGTTGTGCAATTTGATGGGGGGGGGTGAGGGAAATTGAAAAAATATGTTTGAATTTGTATTCGAACTTTGTACATAAACCAGTGGGGGAAACATGAAGCACAAAAAGAATTTACAATTAAAAAAAGCAACAATTAAAAAATTTTTTAAAAAAAGAAATTTATCCATGCCACAAATGCTTATCAAGACCAAAAAAAAAAAAAAGTGTCTCCATCAGATAATGTAGATGAGAAGTTAGATGAAACAGCATCTCTGCCCTTCAGCTTCTCAAAGGTACTTGCCAGAGATGTCCACATATGGCAATTTGAGGGACCTTTTCATGGAAGTACCTGTGGTTGGTAGGAGCAGCTGAAGTTGCCAAGAGAGGATAAAGCGAGAGAGGGCAGAAGAGTCAGAGGAAGAGCCTCAATAAAGACCAGTTTTCTAGACACTAATAATTCAGTGTCACAGAAGCCAAAGAGAGTAAATAAAAATTGATGAATGGCTGAAGGAGAAAGTGAGTTTCCACGTCTTTTTTCACACTCGCTCTTGTTCCTGTTATTCTTTCTTTTTATTTGTCCAGTCGCTATTTTGCATCTCAGTAAGTCCCTTGATCCATTCTGATGCTACTTGCCTTCATAATGTCTTGATGGTTTGCATTGTGTATTGGCTACCTAGGCACGCTTGTCTCCATCTGCTTCTTGGTCTCTCCCTCTCAATTGTGCAACTTGAGGGTAGGATCTATCTTTCTTCTGCACGTCTCTCTTTCTCCACACAAGGCACATGGTTCTGCCCAATACAAGTCACATGAATAGATAGGTGGATGGATGATGGGTGGATCAGTATATAGAACAACACAGAACACTAACCTTGGGACCAAGACTTTCAGATGATTGCACAGAGACTGAATATAGATGCTGCCTTCCTTCCATTTCTGAAAGTTTGCATAGACTGGGATGGTGGCTACGCTAAGCAGAAACTCTGGCTCTTGAAGACACTTGTCACTCAGGCTCAGCCCGCTGGCCTGCGAGAGGTGCTGGTCAGCATTCATAACATTGGCTTCCAAAGGTACAGCAGCTTCACAGGCCTGGATGAAAAACAATTTGGGTTTGCCAGCCAGATCAGGGCACTGCTGGGCTGTGAAGTAAGATATGATCTCCTGAATGGGAGTGAGGAACCCATCCGAGGAGCAGACAGCCTCCGACAGCCCATGAGTCAGGATACAGAACACGAAGCAGTCCCCATCAGCATGGCCTGGGTGCCTCTTATATTCCTCCAGGACTTTCTGCAGGTCTGCTTTAGTCACATCATTGTGCACCTGTACTGTGAACCCAAGCCACTGGAACACACACTGCAGGCTCTCTGTCAACAGAGGAAAGCAGGAGGAAATGAGATGGAATGAGATGAAAGAGGGAAAAAACATTAATAGTTATAAAAAGTGTATAGCAAACAGCCTGGAGCTTCGGATTTTATGACTTTTGTAATAGTAATAAAATTATACAACAAGCCTGATCTCCTACAGTGGCTGCATTGCTATCACATAATATTGGTAATGATCTTGAGAGTCGCTAAGGACTAGTGTCTGTTCCACAGGCAGAAGCCTGATCAGTGGTGGAGCCAGCGATCAAACGTGCTGCCATCCAACATGCCTGCTCCCCAACCAGAGTCAGAATTGGACATTTGCAAGCAGCGTGCTGAGGGTCCAGAATGTCAAAGAGGCTCCAGAAGTTGTTGTTGTTGTTGTTATGTGCCATTGAGTCGCTTGCGACTCATAGCGACCCTATGTACAAGAGCTCTAAATGCTGTTCTATCCTGTGCCAACCTAGCCATCTCAAACGCACTTATTCTCACCGCTCCAGTCAAAGAATCGATCCATCTCACCAAAGGTATTCTTCTCCTTCGCCTCCCCTCCACTCTGCCAAACATGATGTCCCTCTCCAAGGACCAGTCCCTCCTTGCAACATGCCCAAAATATGTCAGACGAAGCTTCGGAATCCTTGACTCCAGGGAACACTCTGGCTTCACTCTCTCCAGGACAAACCTGTTTGCTCTCCTAGCAGTCCATGGTATATTCAACGCTCTTCTCCAGCACCACAGCTCAAAGGCCTCAATCCTCTTTCTATCAGCCCTATTCACTGTCCAGCTCTCTGATACATAGCACGTAATTGCGAAGACTATAGCCCGGATCAGGCGCACCTTAGTCTCCAGCCTGACATCATTGCTCTTCAATACTCTTGAGAGGTCCCTCACAGCTGACTTTCTCAGTGCAATTCATCTCCTGATTTCCTGGCTGCTGTTACCAAGAGCGTTGACTGTGGAGCCAAGTAAATTAAAACTGTTAACTATCTCAATCTCTTCACCATCCATGCTGATGCTGCCAATTGGCCCAGTGGTTAGAATCTTTGTTTTCTTGACATTTAGTTTCAGTCTATATAGGAGGCTGTAGTCCTCGATCTGCAGCAAGCGCCTCAGGTCCTTCTCAGTTTCAGCAAGCAGGGTTGTGTCATCTGCATAACGCAGGTTGTTGATGATTCTTCCACCAATCCTGATGCCACATTCCTCTTCGTATAGCCCAGCGTCTCGAATGATCTCTTCTGCATACAGATTGAAAAGGTATGGAGACAGAATACATCCCTGACGAACCCTCTTCTTGATTTTGAACCATGTAGTGTCTCCTTGCTCTGTTCTGACAACTGCCTCTTGGTCCAAGTAGAAGTTTCGCATTAGCACAATCAAATGTTCTGAGATTCCCATTCTTTATAATATCATCTAACATGTAATAAGAGAGAACATTTTCAGGAAGAAAATGCAAAAATAAAAAAATAGACGACTATTTTAGGCTCCCTAACTTGAAGTTGATAAACTACCACCGACTCTCACCAGCATCGTTTTGCGACCCTGGCCTGAATTGGAGTGAAGTAAATAAGCTGTTGTTGATGATGACACAGTGTCCTCTATGTCTCCGATCCATCCTGTATACAGATGCTTCCTGAAAATCAAGATAGAACCATTTATTAGGGAATCCTCATTTTAAGGAGTTAAATGGTTTTCATCAACTACTTCAATGGGTCCTATTTGAAATAGAGTAGATTGTGTCTCTTAATGTTATTGTCATGTTTTGTTGAGTCAAAGAGCGACCCTATGTACAACAGCTCTGAACCCTGCTCTATCCTGGGCCAACCTTATTATCTCTGTTGTTGTAGGGTGCCTTTGAGTTGAGTACAACTCACCGTTACACTATGAGCAACACATCTGAACCCAGTCCTATCCTTTGCTGTCCTCATCTTCTGACACACTTGAGCTATTGCTACTGTCACTGTGTCAGTCACTGTGTCAATCCACTTCATTGAGGATCTTCCTCTCTTTCGCTGACCCTCCTTCCTTCCAAGCATGATGTTCCTTTCCTTAAACATCAGCAAATCAAGGCTTTCTCTTCTTTCCCTTACCCTCTCTTTTCTCGTTTGTGTTTCCCCCACTAAAAGTTGGTAGTGAAGCCATTGTAAACATTTGTCAGCATCCCACTGACCATACCTGCAAGGCTCGATGGGCTAGCATGTTGCCAAAGTGAAAAGGTAGCTCTTCCTCTTCCTGATGCAGTTTATCGGCTCCACCGTTGACAGACAGAGTCAACTACCCCAGCGCTTGGAAGCGGAGTCACAGATGTGAAAGCAAAGATCACTGTAACGATCCAAGACAAGCAATCATCAAAGCACAGCCATAAAAATATAATTTTTTTAGGAGATCTGTTGAATTTAGGAGCTCTCATGGCCTAGTGTCAATAAGCTGCACTGCAATCCAAAAGGCACACAGTTCAAATCCACTAGCTGTTCTGTAGTAGAAACATAGGTAATTTACTGCCTCTGAAAACCTGCTGGAGGGTCTGCTCTGAGTCATTTTTACTCCATGACACAACAAACCACAACAACTGAATTTTACTGGCATTCACTTTCAGAGGACTCTGTGTATAATACCCAATGGGTGGAATGTCTGAGTTTATAAATCCTTTGTGTTGTTATTGTATATTATTTTATTTGTTATTAGTTGTTTTTCCTTTTTAAAAAAAATTTATTAATACTTTAACAAAAGCTTACTGAAAACTTGGATTTCCATTCATTCATTGTTGCACATTTTCCTCCCTACATGCCCCCTTTTCACTTTTCTCTTTAAAAAGATGTTTTCAAGGGAGCTCTGGTGGCCTAGTGGCAAGATGCTGCACTGCAATCCCAGAGGTACGCAGTTCAAATCCACCAGATGCTCTGCTGGAGAAGGAGGGAGAAATCTCCTCCTGTACCAGTCAGATCTGATTTGACGGTACACGTAAAAATAATGCAATAAAAATAAAAAAAAAGAGTTTATAAAAAAATTTTTAAAAAGATGTTTTCATTGTTGCATAGTTTCCTCTCTCCTCTTGCCCCAGTCCTGTTTTTATATCTGCATTTTTATTGATTCTTCAAAGTGACTATAGATTTTACTACATATTATATGCTTGCTGTGGTTGCTGTGGTGTACTATCGAGTCAGAATCAACCAATAGCTGACCGTCCAGTGGGTTTTCAGAGGTACTAAATCCCACTGGAGGAGATAGCTCATCTTTGTCCAGCAGAGCAGCTGGGGATTCAAACTACATACCTTTGTGTTGGAAGCACAGTTCCTTACCACTAATCCACCACAGCAATTTCCAAGTCTATGGTCCTTAATGTGCCAAATAATTACCAAGTAGAGATTGAAAAAGCATTACTGCAAAAAAAAAAAATCCAAACTCAGACTAATAGCAAAAAGAGAACAAGAGAGAAGGAGGAAAATTAAAAATTATTATATACATATGTTCAGATTATTATTCACCATGCATTGAATCATCTCCCCAAAAACTGCATGTATATACTATGGGTGCTACAATGATCTCCCAGGAAATGATAAATGAAATAGTAGTAGTAAGCATCAAATGCAACAGTTTCTAATCAGAACACAGTCCTAAAAGGATATAAGGGGAGTTCCCCTAGGATGTGCCCTTTAATGCTTTCATCTCACCAGGTATAAAAAAGAAGGAAGAAAGCCAAGAGGTAGAGACCCTTGTTGCTGTTGTTAGATGCTGTCACGTCCAGTACAATTCATAGCGACCCTATGAACAAGAGATCTGAACTCTGTCCTGTCTGTGCCAGCCTCACAGTCTCTGACACATTTGAGCCCATGGCTGTGTCAATCCACCTGGTTGAGGGTCTTCCTCTCTTTTGCCATCCCTCTACCTTTCCAAGCACAATGTCCCTCTCCAAGGAATAGCCTCTCCTAGCAACAAGTGCAAATTATGTGACACGAAGCATCTCCATCCTTGCCCCCAAGAAACACTCTGGTGGCACGTTCTCCAAGATACATTTGGTTTGGGTTTGGGTTTGGTGGGGTTTTTTTAGTCCATAGGATATTCAGCACTTTTCTCCAAAACCAGTGTTCAAAGGCATCAATGACTTCTTCTGTCAGCAGCATCAAAAATAATCACCAGGGATGGGGATGGAGTGGGTTTTTGCAGATCTTTACACCTTCTCAAAAAAAGCTCCTTGACAATGAAAGAACACTTGGGGCTCCTCAAGAAACATGGGGCCTACAGATACTAAAGAAAACAAATACTTTCCTTCACAACCAACAGATTTAGAGTCTTCTTATAGGACTGGCCACCTGAATTTTAATTTCTAGCTTCCTAAAGGGAGTTACAGGTTTCATATGAGCATAAGTAAGTGTTCTGGCATTCCCATTCTCCTCACTGTTAACCATCGTTCATTATGATCCGCGCAGTCACATGCCTCAGGCCTTACTTCATTTCACACTGTCACCTCATCCCAGGAGACCAGTGTCTGCCTGCATCAAGGCCCAGGCTCCTGGACCTGCCTGCCTGCCTTGCCTCACAACACCACTTCACCCAAGAAGAACAGAAATTAAAAAAAAAATCTTACCAAAAGCCAAATATAGCTCCTTCTAAATGCAATGAGGTTTTGCAAAGATATGTCTTCAAATCAAATTAAAGTCACTAAGTCAATGGAACCTTTTTATACCTATAGAACACAATACCAAAAACCTTTCTTGATGATGCATCTGGAATTTCTATTGTTAAAAACTACTAGTAAATCATTTGAGATTTGAAACCACCAGAGATGCAGTTATTGTCATAATATACGTCATGCTCAAGACCATTGTTGTAGTCACAGTGTCACTTCATTCCATTGATGTCTTCCTCTCTTTCAATGTATGATGCCTTTCCCAGCATGATGCTTTTTTCCAAGGACTAAACCTCCCCTGACATGCCCAAAGTGTGTGAGACAATATTTAACCATCCTTAAACCTAAGAAGTACTTGGACCTACAATGAGGAGAGGATAAAATAGACAAATGGGATCTTCTAAGACTAAAATTTCTATGCACATCCAAAAACTTCTCCAACAGGGTAAAAAAGGAAGCCACAGACTAGGAAAACAAGTATTTGGTAATGACATGTCAGTTAAGGGACCTATATCTAGAATTTATAAAATACTCGAGCACCATAAGAAGATAAACAACTGAAAAATGGGCACAGAATATGAACAGACACTTCACCAAAGAAGACATTCAGATGACAAACACATGAACAAATATTAAAAATCTCTAGCTCTAAGAGAGATGCAAATCAAAACAACTATGAGATATCATCTCACCCCAGTGAGAATAGCAAAATTTAACAGAACAGCAAACAACAAATGCTGGAGGGTTGCAGAGAAACTGCTGGTGGGAGTGTAAAATGGTGCAACCACTTCAGAAGGCAGTTTTACATTTTCTCCAAAAGTGAGAAATAGAAATACCATTTGACCCAGCAATTCCACTACTGGGAATATACCCTAAAGAAACAAGAACTGCCA